CGGACCGGGGCACGAGCCCACGTCCCCTGCATCGGCAGGCGGACTCTCAACCACTGCGCCACCAGGGAAGCCCCAATACTTTGTTTTTTGATCCAGATTCAATCAAGATGCATGCCTTGCATTTGAATGGCATGTCTTTTTTCATTTTCTTTAATCTTGACATTTTTAAAGAATTCAGGGCAATTGTCTTGAAAAATGGCACATCATTTGGATTTGTCTACTTCCTAATGGTTGGATTTCAGGTTAAATATTTCAGCAAGGCTATGTTACACAGGTGATGTTGTGTACTTTCTACTACATCATATCAGCTGGCACATGTCCGTCTGTCCCATTATTGGTGATGCTAAGTTTCATCACTTGGATTAAGAAAGTTTCCAAACTCTGTTTGTGAAGGTACCTTTTCTCCTTTGACTTAAGTCACCTGTGAGGTGACATTTTGATATTCCTCCCCTACTTTGAAGCATGCTATAATTATAGTTCTTCAAACAAAGAAAAACTGCTAAGAGTAATGGGAAACTCCATAATGAAAAACAAAACAAAAAACAAATATATTCATGAATTATTCCACTCAAGGAAAAAGTAAATAGGGGCTGCACAGAAAAAAATGAACATGACCACAGGGGAATCTATTCCACTGACACCATTTATGTACGTTTTGTTCCCTCTCACTCACTGGTGCGGCTCATAATCTAGCAGGAGATCTTTGACATGAAAGCATTTAGTGACCTTCAGCAAATCAGTTATAGTGTCAATGAAAATTCCAGCATTAAACAGGCAAAGTGATAGAAAAAGTGAGGGGGTTGAGGTGGGGCTGGGCATGTTGACACAAGAGTGAAAAGTTCTTTTAAGGTGGTGATTAGCAATGCTATTTCCAGTCCAGAATGGAACGCAGGTAAAATTCTGATAGAGAACAAGAGATGACTCTTCATCTCCCTCGGGTCAGGCCCTTCTGCTGCAAACACATTATTATGTAGCCATCCTTCTCTCATCTTCAGACTTAACTCTGTCTTCTAGGCTCACCTAGTGTCTCAGGCACACCCAACACAGTGCTGCACCCCTTGCTGCACTGACATTCCTCACATGCCTGCCTCTCTCCGGTCCTTCCCAGAACTTGTGAATCCCCTGAGGGCAGAGACTCTGCTTGGTGTCCCTTGCGCACAGCAGCAGGTGTGGAAAACGTGTTCGGGAAATGTTTAATGTTTGAGTAGAACAGTAAACCATAGTTCTGTTAACTCATCCTTTGCTTCCTGCTTTTATCTAGCTAGCGAGAGGTAGAGCTGGCATTCAAACCAAGGCATTCTGGCTTTGGAACCCACATTCTTAACCACATTGCATGAAACAGTTCCCATAACCTTTGATCTCAACGTGCAGCACTCACTGTATAAGATAAAGCCCTTAGTGTTTAGGCCATTGGTCCCAGCCTACCTCTCCCACCTTATTTCCCCAAATTTGTTCCTTCCCACATGGGTGCCTCACTCCAATGATTTCATTGCCTATTATGTTAAAATTCTACTCCTCAGAAATGACATCACTTCTCTACTATCATCGCACTTCCAACTCTCTATTACCGTAATTTTACAAAGGCTAACCACTTCACAAACACTTTTCCTTTCCTGCCTCATCATGTTCTCTCTCCTTTCTTCTCAGTTCTCAAAGTGCTTTGGCTGAACTTCAAATAAGTTACTTGTCGCTTTCTGCCTTGTGTCAGGATGAAACACCACAACGTTGTACACATCCTCTCTTAAGACTATAAGCTCCTTTAAAGGTAAGGCCCACGTCTCCCTAGCTCCACGTCTCCAACACCTACCTAGCACAGTAGCCTGCACATAATAGGCCCTTGGTGGATATCTGCCACATAATTTTCCTTCAATAATCTTGGCTTCAATTTATATTTTATTCATTCTATCTACTTAGAAGAGAATGCCCTTCTCTTATTTTCCATCTGTCCTAAATATCCAGACTAAACTTCGGAAGTGAAGGATATGTTTATTACCTGGGTTGTGGTGACGGCATATAAGCGTACACACACATCCAACCCCACCAAATTGTATACATTCATTATGTGGCTTTGTTTACTTCAATAAAGCTGTGGAAAAAGTTTCAGAAGAAGAAAAAAAAAAAAATGTATCGACCTGGAGTTTGGATTCGAATCCAGTCCTGCAACTTATTAGCTGTTGGTATTGGGCAGATTGCTTAACATTTCTGTGCCTTGATTTCCTAATCTGGAAATAATAATAGCATTTACTTCACAGGGTTATATTTTTTTCTGTAAGGATGAAATGAGTTAATTCTTAACAAAGTACACACCGTATAACAGTGCTGCCATATTGTAAGCACTCAATAAAACTTATCGTTATTCCACATTCTCTCTCATGGTTTGTAATACTCATTTGGCAATGATTATTTACCAATCGGTGACACATGTTCTATTTTTGCTAGGAACTTCAGTTTAAATCACGTATTATTAATGGCTTTTTAATGGGCGTGTCTTGTTTTCTTCAGTAAAGCATGGGATAACTTTGATTATTGAGCACATTCTACATGCCAAGAACTTGGCTAAGTGCCTTCTATAAATATTTCATTCAGTACTCACTACAAAAGTATAAACTAGCCATTATTTCCACATTATAGATAAAGCAAAACAAAAAGATGTAGAGAATAAGCAATTTGTTCAAGTTGTCTAAGCTAGTGAGTAGTAGAGCTAGGACAGTTCTTGAAGGCAAAGATAATATTTAATTGATCTCCCAGAGCGATTAATGTATACTCATTAACACAGTTACTATCTGTGTTCAATGTTTTTGATTGCTATCTATTTTGTTGCTGTGAAAATTGATGCATATATATTTGGTATGTTAGCTTTTTGTGCTTGGTATACCTTAATACAGAGGCCTTATTTTTCACCCTTAATAAGCTTTTTAAAAAAGTTACCTTAGGCTCCAATATAAGCCCTTCTCCCATGTCAATGGCAAGAGCGGGATAAACTTTTAGTATATTTTAACATAACTAGAGACTTTTTTAAAACTCTTCTCTATGCATTTGTGCTCATCTCTATCAACTTACATTTAACTTTTAGCTTTATGCACTTCTCTGCATTAATGCTGTTTCTACAGAGAACTTACTATGAAAGAAACGCTAAAGCACATTTGCTTCACACCTATGATTCACCAAGGTGGGAAATGGGGCAGTTGAGGCAGTTGAGGAACGGGCCAATATTGCTTAGCTGGTAAAAGGCAGAAAAGGAACCAGAACCAGAACTCTTTATCCCCACTACTGTGCTCTTCTAGCTAAGCTACACTGTCTCCTGCATACAGAGAAATGTCACGTCTTTCATATTTTAACCCAGTCCATTTACGATGTGGCTTTGGGCCCTCAGTTTACCTGTCATTACATATTCCCAAATAGGAAGCAAGTGGGAAGACATGAAAATAGGAAGCATAGGAAGAAGTAGAAGTCCCGTGCAATTTTTCCACCTCTATGCCTTTGCTTCCACTGCTCCCCAAATGTAATATCCTCTCTCCAGATGCCTGAAAAGCAGTGCTACTCAGAATGATCTACAGATTCCTGTCTGACTAAGACACTCTGTGATGAGACAAGTACAGACACAGACAGTGTTTGGAAAATATGATAGCAATTCAATAGAGTAATTTATTCCTGTTAAATCTAATAATGGTAAAACTCATTCTTCCATTTTGTATTCTGTTTATTTCATTTTCTTAGTAACTAATTTTCATTGTACTCTATGGAAATATTGGTCTCCAGTAGATTAGGGAGAAAACAGAAAATCTGAAAGGCACTGCTTTGAGTCCAGGTTCAAGAACCACCAATTCTCAAAAGCATTCCCGATGTTCTCGATGAATAGAGCTTTTACATTTTGTAACACTTGACCTAAGCCTCTCTTATGCCTCATACCTTTCTACCTAGATTAGCAATTGTTTGTTTTTCTTATCTTTTCTAAATAATTCCAACCTCCCTGAGGATAGGTTATGTATCTTTAACACCTCATACTTGGCGTATAATTCATAAATTCACATTACACAAATGGACTGGATGGATTAACCACTGATAATTATTCACAGGTTTGGAGAGAGAAGTTAAAAAAAATACAAAGGGAACAACTTTTCCTAAATAGGGGAAGGATTGAAAGCACAAAGTTTAGATACTACCCGATTCCACATTTTGTAAATGAACATTTAGATCAGTGAGAGACCTGAACACACACAGAAACCCTATTTCTGCCTAATAAGAAGCTAATAAATTGCCAAAAGTTAACTTTTAAAATCAAATTTGTATTCAAGAAACTCTGCATTACGCCTGAAATTTTAATCCAAGCTAAACAGACATCACATTTACGGCAGTCTCACAAAGCAATTTACAGAACACTCAGGTGTGTGTGTGTACATGCATACCAACTCCAACGCATCCAGACTCAAAGCTTTTACCAGTGGAGCCGGTACTATTCCTAATTACTAATTAAGGAAAACAGAACACAACCTTTACTTCCGAACTCAGCCCTAAACCCCACTCACCAAAGTATTCATCGGCGGGTGGATTTTCCATGTCATACAGCATCTTCTTGGTCAGATGCTCGAGCTCATCTTCAGGGCGGAATGAGGAAGGGACAGCCGGAGGCCCCATGGATCCTGTTTGTCCACTCTGAAAGGCAGAAAACACAGAGTCCTTTAAGTGCAACCTAGACATCAACCGAGGCAATGCGGTAGTGTTTGCACTGTAGAGGAAAAGGCACTGGATGGGGCTATTAGGAGGCCTGGGTTTCATATTGGTTTTATCAGCTACTCAGTGTCTGACCTTGGGGTCACTACTTTATTCACTTGCCTTATATAGATGAGCCATCTATCAGGCTTAGGAATCCATGTTTACAAAGAATAGGACTCTATTTCATTCAACAATTGCTAAGCAGTCACTATGTGCCAGTTGTAGATTTATAAAAAGAAGATGAAGAAACTGAGTCTCTTTCCTTACAGAGCTTACGGTCAAGTAAGAGATATAGGCACCCCGGTAATTAAAGATAAAGCAACAGTAGACAGTGCACAATCAGAGCACAAAGGGGACTCCCTCGTGGCCAGAGAGGAAGAATTCCAGAGGAGAGGCATCAGCACAGACTAGGATTTATTCAGCTAAAGGAGAGGAACCATAAACGTTCAAGTTTTTTTACGTTCAGGTGAGGAAGAAGCCAGGTGGCATAAGGAACTCCTATGTATAAAGTTTGAGATAAGAAAAGAGATGAATATTATTGGGTACATGGAGTCCACAAAGTGAAGGGCCTTGTGTTCCAGTGAAGGAGGTTGAGTAACCCCCCTGCCCCACCCCACCAGACCACCCCTGCCCTGCAAACAACCAGATGTCAAATGAGGAGGTAAATCAGCAGCAGTAAACACTGGATTGGTGTTAAATAGGCGGATGTGCCTGAATTAAAGCAATGCAAGGGGAATCAAACGTCAGGTGAAAGAACACTTGAGGTGATCAACCAAGAATCTAAAGTATGTAAAGAAAGAAAGACCAGAGGCCAAATGTGAAATAGCTGGTGCTATGTAAGTAAGAGGGAATTTGTTATATTTTCCTTTGCCTATATTATAACTTTGACCACTTCCGATATTACACCCCAGTATCTTCAAAGTATTAAAAATAAAAAGACCGTTAAAGGTTTAGAAATATCAGTGATGGTATCCCCCATGGCAAATGGGAAGAGCTGACATTGGGAATGCACTGCCTTGATCTTATGCGGTCTTAAAATTGTTGACCAAGAGTTTCTCCTTTCATGAATAGTTTACAAGAATCAGTTCAACAAGACTTGAAGCTGCATATTCATTCACCCGTTATCTTCACTATATACCCAATGAGTTCTTGGATGTGAAAATCCTGTGAAGAACAAATCCTTGTACAAAAGTTTCATTATTATTACCAGCAACATTTCAACAACTAAGAAGGGTATTAATTACTTGTGTTATGGCTAGGGCATGAAATGCCTTCTAAACATATGTGAAATTGTTGATTGGCACCTATTTGGCCTTTTCTCTCTAATTATCTTTCATCTGGCATCTGCAGGATCATTACCTCAATCTACTCGTCGTGAGGTAAAGAAATTGACACCCAAAGAGATCGGGCAGGGTTAATTAGGATAAAGCCAGGATAAGAGCCCATCCTAGATTCACTCATTTGTCCTAAACATTAATCTCAGGGCCTCCTCTAAACTGCAAATAATGCGTGTGCCCTACTGAGTTAGTGTGAGGGTTAAAAAAGTTCTTGACTCATTCACATTTGCTTAGCTTATTAGTTTATGCACACGTTCTTACAGTGCCTATGTTGTGTACCCTCTGCAAGCATCAGGGAGGAACACAAAGACATATTTGACACAGTCTTTGCCTTTGAAAGGACTGGAGTCTAGTGAGGGTGAAAGACGGACACAAATGATCATCAGTTCTATAAAGCACACTATATTGGGGGGAGCGTATGCAGATATAAACATTGGAGGAGCGATTTGCTAGTATAATTAAACTTCAAATTGCTCATATATGCTATCAACTTTCAAGAAAATTTTACAGAAATATTCATATAAGAACATAAAATTATTGTGGCCAGAGATAGTGAAGGGATATATGGTGTGGCAGTGGCATTGTGGCTGGAGACAGATTTAATGAGGTGAGCTGGTGAACCTGTCTGAACTTGAGACCCCCTTCTGTAAAATGGGCTTGCCGTGCTACCTCAGGGTCTTTGTTAGAATTAAGACGAGATAGCTTGCATTTCATGCTAAATAGAGCTTAACTACTTTCAAGCCATGGCAACAAAGGGACTCTAGATCCCCCAACCTGCCTCTGAGGGAGGGGACTATGCCAGTTCAGGTGACAACATTGAAGACGAGATAGGAAAATTATCTACAACTTGTTTTTGCAGGTTTGCAATTAAGAGAGAACTTGAGCCCCAAATTTGGTATTACCTGACTCTAAATTCTACGTATTCTTTTCCAACCAAACACTGCTTTCCACAGAGAAAGTGCTAGAAAAGTATGAAATATTAATGGTGGTGGCTGTTTTAATTTAAATCAACAACTAGTAGAGAAAATCTGCTAATTACTGCTTCCAGCCTTAGGGTGAACCCTCAGGGAATGGACACAATTTATTATTGTTTGGCCCTAAAATCTGCTGGCTTCCCTTTTCATATAAACAAAGGCAGCAAGAAAGCCAAGTCTGTCCTCTGTAAATCGGAGCCAGTAATTGAGATTCTACCTTTAGCACTTACATTTCAAGCAGAGGCCTAATTTCAAAGTACTTACCTTGTCAGTATTTCACAGATTTTAAGAAACAATATGTATAGTATACCTTTTATTCTACAAATACTCCTTCCTATTTGCTTGCTATACTGTTTCTGAAGTTTGGAAAAGGCTCTTTTCTTTTAGATTCTAATCTCATATATTGCTGATCTTGGCTTCCTGGTTCTTCTTGGCTTCCTGGCTTCTGAATAAAGACCCCAGGAGATCATCTCTTCCAGTGTTTCTGGACCTTATTTGGCTAGAGAACTCTCCCCACTGTCCCCACCTCCAGTGGGTAATACTCAACCGCTGTGGAATACATAGTGGTAAAAAGTCAAGTTCTTCCCAGTTGTCTCTCACACCCAGGAAAATATAGCTCAGGACTTTCTTCAGGGTTCAAGTCTCTTAAGTAGTAGTTGTTTAGCACTTTCTCACTAGGATGGAGAGATCCCTTTCAATTTCTCTCTCCCGGGAGTGCTTAGGACTCAACACATCCTAGGAAAAATTAATAATTGTGTCCAAATCATTTTTAAATAAGCAGCTTCTAAAATTGTGTCTGGGCAATAAAACACAATTGAAAATTTATAAGTGGGGGGTGAGGGAGGGCTGGCAGGGGATGTGATACATTATTTTGTTTTTTATTTCTTCAGAAGTAGAAATATGAATAGTATCAGCAGTATATTCATTGTGACATAATAACAGTTCCTTGTATGACCCTTTTCAAAGTGCCTGCTTTCACATATGTCATCTCAAATGTTTATACCACAGCCCTGTGTGATATATCATCCTATTTTATGGATGAGGAAATTGAGGCTCAGAAAAGATAACTGAGCAATGCTGTGTGCAGTACCAGCCCTGAAAGCCAGCAGAGCCCTGACTGAGACTAGCTAGGTATGCTGAGTTGGCCGTGTTTTGGCTCCACTTCAAGGCCTCGCTGGATTCCAATATTGTTATTTCCAAGCCTTCCAGCTCTATCACTATAGTCATTTGGATTTTAAAATAGTGATTGTATTATCTAATAAGCGAAGACGTTTTTCAGAGTGGAGGCTTACTGCTAAATAGTGAAACAAAAGCACTGCAAAACAAATATAAACACAGCCTCTAGCCTTTTCTAAGAAAAAGACATTCTTATAAGTATCAATATTAATCACTAATATGTGCGTTCTTTGAAATGCCTGGACCTCCTAGTAAAGGCAAAAAAAGAAAAAAAAACATTACATGACCCATAGATGAAATTATTGAGAAATAAATTTCAGAGAATTCCTTCAAAATTCTCTTAACATACTTTTCCTAAGGGAATGCCAAGCACTAAGCACTATCATTATAAAGTCAAATTATTCAGGATTCCTGCCTCTGACAACTCAATTTAGGAAGAGAGAGACATGAAAATAGGTAATTACCGTAAAGTGTAAGTACAAAAACACAGGTATGAATTCAGTGTTCTGAGATAACAGAACACTGCCAGAAAGGAGGTGACCACTTAGTTTGATATTGAAGGATAAACTGGATTTTACCAGATGAAAGAAAGGAAGAAAGAAAGAAAGAGAGAGAGAGAGAAAGAGGGAGAGAGAGACAGAGAGAGAGAGAAAGAAAGGAAGGAAGGAAGAAGAGAGAGAAAGGAAGGAAGGAGAGAGAGAAAGAAAGAAAGAAAGAAGAAAAGGAAAAAAGAAAGAGAAAAACAGTAAAGATATTCCAAGAACAGTATGTACGAAAGAACATGGATATTAGCAAAAATGTTAAGAAACAGAGGAAGAACAGAGCTAGGATGAGGCTAGAGAAATGGGTTGTGGTCAAAGTCAAGACTGTTTTAGGCAACAGATAATCTTTAGGAGATTTAATATGGTGGGCTGACTTTTACTAAAGTCATGCTTCTGAAATATGCCTATTGGCAAATATCTCATAGCCAAAGCGAATGATGACTTAAAAAAATGCAACCAGACACCAGTTTAATGGTTAAGATGCTTTAAAAGAACTCTGATACGTACTATGTAAATTTGCTAACTCCTCAGCAAAATGTGTTTCCTCTTCCTTCTGAGCACACAGCTAGACTATTTTCCATTCTCCCTTGAAGTTAGATACAGCCATATGAGGCATAGGAAGAAAGGAGCTCACTCCTGGAGGACAGTCATCCACTGACCAGGCTGGCTTGCCTCAAACTGTTACAGAAGGGGGACTGGAAAGAAATATGCTCAGAGGTTAATGGTTAAAAGTGATGGGCAGTGGTTTATATTCTTTTTATTTATACTTTCCTTTTTCTACAATGAAGATTTTTTCCTCAGATGTGAAAAAGTTTTGTTTTTTTCCTGACACAGAAGTGTCAGGACACAGAAAATGTCCAAGTATCTACAGCCGACTCTTCTCTGCCATGGTTCTTTCCTTGCTAGGGGCC